GGTTGTTACCAACATCTAGTGAAAATTTCATGTCATTAGCACCTCTAGTAATATATTTACTGAGAAAAATGGTGACGTGTTCAATACTTATTTTACCCGCTGTATTACCTTTGGGAGTTTACCTGAATCAGGACCCTCAAAATTCATAATTTTCACAAAAAAATAGTACTCAAACACAGGGAGGTGGGACTGTCAGCGACAGGGATAGACAGAAGGTGGGGCAGAGATAATGTCTGCAGTGCTGAGGAGCAGAGAAAGGTGGTGTCAACAAGCAGCTGTGGAGGGAAGCAGTATAGGGTATCCAGGAGTTTACTCCCCTGGAATTCTTTTTTAACAAATCTACTCAAACCTGTATTATCCAGGCATTTAAATAGCATTTTACTAAATTCTTGGGATTAATCAACCATAAAAATCAGTATTTTATGAAGGCAGAACACTAAAATCCAGACTTTTTCTCAGATCACAACTGAAACTTCCATTATCCTTATTTTTGTTTTCTATTCACATTCTGAGCACCAGTAGTTTGTCTTGACATCTTGGCATCATATGATACTTTTATTATGAAACATCCTCTGCACCATATAACATCTCATGCAGTAACAAGCACAAAAAGTTACCTTCATACCAGTGATAATTCCAAACTAAATCAACTATACTCTGATAAAAAGCTATAAAATTATGAGTTTTGTCCTCCATTGTGGCACCCCTCTAGATGGATGGCACCCTTAGCGTTTGCCAAAAGCCAGACCTGCATCTTGTTCCTGGCTTTAAGTTTAGTTTGACCAATGACCGTTAAATATTCATAACTTAATAAGTGTTTTTTTCCCCACAGTTGGTGTCTGACGATGAGAGCAGCAGCATGAAGGTGCTCCCCCTGAGTGACGACACCTCCCCTCTGATCGAGGACAGTCAGGCCGTGTTCGAAGACTACATCAATGCTGTTGAATACAGACGCGGCCCTCTGAATCCTGACCAGCACCAAGCAGATCCAGATGACAAGTCCTCCATCTACACCCTCACCAACACTGTGCCCCTCATCACAGACTTCCTGGACACCTCCTGGAACCCATTCTTAGACGTCATCCGCCGACGTCTGAACAACTTCTGCCACGGCAGACCTTTCATTGTGACGGGGGTGACCGTTTCAGGGGCCACAGTCAAGCGTAATAACAGGGACCGCCTATGGATTCCGAAATATTTATGGTTGGCGTACTGCTGCCCGCGGTACGACCGTAACTCACCGTACGAGGTGAGGTTTATGTTCCCGAGTTATGGAGGATACGCACTGAATGAGCCGACAGGAAACAGTGTGGTGGAGGTACCACTGAAGAATCTGGAGACGTTCCTGAGGAGCCAGGCAAACGTAGACAACGACTTCACCATTTTCTACAAGGGCTGTGTGCCGGAAAACACCTTCAAGAAGAAGAGAGACCTGCCTGATGATGAAGAGCCACCGACATAACAAGTTTGAAGATCTTTGAAATAAAATTTAACCAAAACCAATAAGACGACATGGGTCAGATGCAAACCTAAGAAATGTGACAATTTGTATTTTCATTTTTTGGTTACTCAAGTAAATTTTATCAAAACTCACTTCTTCTTTACAATAATTTTGCCCCTCTATAAATTTTGAAATGGTTTTCATTCCTATGAAAAACAATAGTCATTTGTCTGTTTTTTTTGATGACAAGTTTTTTTTAACAGCAATGTCTGAAAATAAGTTAGTTTGATGAGTCATCTTACTCATTTCAAAGTACAATACTTGCAGCGTTAGTAAAGTATTTTAGTAAATGCCACACCTCATTATTCATCAGGGTGTTTTTAAAAGTAAAGATGTACATGATTCATTTTATCTATCATTGGTTATTTGTTATGATTCCTACAGTCAAGTAAGTGAATTTGGACGGCTACAGCATGTGTCGAACATATGGCCTGCGGGCCCAAAAATGGGCCTCCTTAGCATTTTATCTGGCCCCAAATATATTTTAAATTCTAAATAAGTTTTATAGCTAACATTTTGTTCGAAAAAAAAATCAAGCTTGCTGTACTTAATCCAGTCTTCTCATGACAGATGGGAAACTTTAAAGAAAAACCAGTTGGAATTTATCATTTATCTTTGATTTTGGTGCAAACAAGTAACTCAAACTCCAGTTGTCATTTATACAAGCATAAATTGTTATTGTAAACTATGATTAATGTTATTTTTAATATTGTTATTTTCAATAAATATTGACCAATTTTGGCTCTTGGCTTGAAACTACTTTTTAGTTTTGGCCCCGTTGTGTAAATAAGTTTAACTGCAGATCTACAGTTTGCACCTCAGAAAAACAGTCTATAGTAAACTGCATAAGGCAAAACTGAACAAATACCTAAAAAAAAAACAACAACACTGATACAATGTATAACACCAGAAAAATATCTAGTACCACCGTACACTGCAACATCTCTGCAAACTTTTGGAAATATGTTGAATAAATCCCATAGTTTAAGTGTGTCAAGCACAAATAACTACATTTAAAACTGAAAACTCAAACATCCACCATTGATTTGTTTTTATCTGAAATAGGTGCATCACAAGAATATCTAACAAAAATATAACATAAAACAAAAAGTGACTCACCGTCACCATTGGACACATTGGTCAGATTCTGTTTTGATGTGTTTATATTCTCATGTTTCCTTCTAGATGTAATAGAATTGCTTTGTTTTTTGGGGTTTTAAACATCTTAAAATCAGGTTAAAAACGAGAGCCTTTGAAACATTTATAGAGTGGTGTGAATAATGAATGCTTCTAATAAAGAATATTTATAAAACCATCATTTGTGGAAGTGTTATTTGACTGTAGGTGACCAGTATGAGTCGGAATAATAAACCTCACATTATTTCAGATAAGTATAAAAATATACATGTAAATACAAAGAAGAGATAAAATAACTAGACTGTCTGTGCAAAGAATTCTGCTCTTAGCAAAATATCCAGGCTACTGCTGAGATACTGGAGGATTACATCTGAACTGAAGGTGGGTTAGATGTTTAGTGTTACTTAAATGTTAAGCCATTTTTACTTCCTGTATATTTTATTTATAGTAAAATATACTTCAGAGTATAAACAGTTTATTCCCTCAATGATAAAAACTTAATATTGATGAGATATTTCAATTGTTTATATGTTTTATACGAGCTTTAATATTGGAAAAAAATGCTTTTATTTGTTGTGAAATTCAACATGGCAGTCACCAGTTGGACGTTTTGTAAAAAGCAGATTAAATATTTGGACTTTAAAAACTTTCTAACCACCTGGTTGGAGAGGACGGAGCTCTGTCCGTCTGTCCTTCCTTCCACTGAAACAAATATTTGCTCTGCCTCTGAGTGGCTCTGTTAAAGTGCGAACAGTACATCACTTTGCATAACATACCCAGATTATAGAGAGCAAATAGTAAAACCTGTGTTAACTCCACGAGACGTACTCAGATCCCTTCTAACTGTCGTCCTGCACATTCGACAGCTCTGCTCTGTCATGGTGTTGTGGCTAAAGATGGGCTTCCTGCTAGGAGCCGTAACTTCACCAGTGGTGAGGGGACGGGTGGAGGAGGAGCTGTCTCCTGAATGCAGAGAGTTCCTTTACATGGGCACGCCGCCAACGGGTCTGGAAGTCCAGTCTGTCAAGTACATTTGTCAGGTGTACAAGAGCAAGCCACGCTACGTGACTCTGTACAGCGTGGTGGACCACATACCCATCTACTCTGCCTACACCTTCAAACGCACGGACGGGGAGTTGTGTGTGGATGTTCCCTGGATGTATGAGCCACAGGTAACTACCAGCCAAAGTCTTGGATTCATAGTTTATTTATATTTATCTGAATTTCAGCCTTTCTGTCTCTTCACACAGCTTTCCACTTCCTCTGAAACCAATGAGATGCAGCCCTTCCCCACTAGCTACAAGCACCTGAGCTTTGAAGACGCCCAAGCAGTTCTGGAAGACTATACCAATGCCATACACTACCAACGCGGCACCCTGAACCCGGAGGAGCACCAGAATGATCTGGATGACAAGGCCTCCACCTATACCCTCACCAACGTGGTGCCGATGGTGCCCGATGTCAACAACAGAGTCTGGCACGAGCAGGAGCAGGTGGTCCGCCAGCGCCTCAACAACTACTGCCTGGGAAAGGCTTACATCGTCACGGGCGTCACCACCATGGGGAGGATGATCCGCAGGGAGAACATGGATCGCATCGCCGTGCCCACCTACTTGTGGTCGGCCTACTGCTGCACCGAATATGACCACAACGCTCCCTTTGACGAGCGGTACAAGCTGCCGTCGTTCGCTCACTATGGCCTGAACCAGGAGGAGAACAATGAGGTGGTAGAAATTACCGTCCCAAACCTGAAGGACTTCCTCAAGAGGACTTTGTTTGTGAACCAGAACTTTCAGATCTTTGTGGGGGACTGCATGCCCTCATCTGGTCAAACTTATTGAGATTAATGTGATAAGCTACTTGGTGTCTTGTTGCAGAAAAATACAACTATCAATGCTCAAATTTCAATTTAAACCAGTCTGAAACTGAAAAACAAATGGAAACAACCATCATGTTATTGTCTTCACATTACTGTAACATGTTAATATGGGTTCTTACAATAACAATAAAAGCAGAACTAAAACAAATTTCTTAAAAACTATCAAATATTCATGATGTTGCAGTCATTTGTTCAAGTCTACCAAAATGTATTGAGTAAATAAAAATGGAGCTTGAGAAAATAGTTTCATGCAAAGCTCTATTGGTTGGTAACAGTATTTAAAAAATCACTTTATTGCAGACCAAGAAAACCACTATTTAACTTCTATAATCACTACATACCATATAATTTACTATACCTGAATGTCTACATGAAATTTACCAGGAAGTCTCAAAAATGTCCTTTTTTTCTTTGATTAGAGTCCAATTAAAAGTGTTTTGCTTTTAACATCACTTATCTGAGCTGTCCAGGAACCATGGACTTTACTTGTCTATAAATAAATAAAATGTGAGACCTTTATTACTGACACATTCAAGGAGAACAAAGACAATTCACGTGAAAGTGTATTTACCAAGAGAAAATTTTAGCTTTAAGGTCAGTTTGGGTCATATTTTCACTCGGTATATGTATCTGTTAAGTTTGTAAATAGCTTATTTGAAGCCAGCCTAAACAGTTTGGATGACATCGAACTTGTTAGACAGTATTTTCAGTTTTTTGGAGAAGAATTTGGAGATTTTTTTATATAATTTATTTCTGTATTTTCTTTTCATTTATACATAAGTGGTAGGAAATTAAAGCATGAAAAAACTGCTACTTTGAGCAGGAGAGGCAGAAATATCACTTATACAAATAAAAAGCATAAAAAGTAAGGAAATTAATATTTGGTAGATTTATTTAATGTAACAATGCTTCTTGGAAATAAATCATAATTGGCAGGACCTGGGGGTATAAGAAGCTCAAAACAACAATAAAACAGCAAAATTAGATGTTTGACAGAAATAATTTGGGATTTTTCTTCAAGTGCACAGCCCACATACTCATCCCACAAATGCATGTTCCTTACAAATGTGGCACCATTTAAAAGGGAAACTAACAGGCTTTCAAACAGTATAAGATTTATTACCAAGAAACAATGTTACAACTAAGAAATAATCTACCAAATACAAATTTCTTCACTTTTGTGCAAGGTTTATGACAAGTTTAACATAATAAAACACATTAAAAACAACAAAAACTTATTTTGCATTCATTTGTGTAGATCATTACAGAAAAAAGAATGGTCCAAAAAAATGGTAAATTATACAAAAATTAAAATAAATAACACAGGTTTTATTTAAAATAAGTTCAATATTCCAAAGCTTTGCATTTTTTTATATTAAATCAGTCAGTTTTTTATGTTTTAGTTTTCCAAGTTTGGAGCTGATTCAAGCATTTTCATTTTTATTTTATAAACACAAAAAACATAGCAGAACAGTCTGAAAATGGTTATTATTGTAACTGCTTTATTCACAGTCTGTAAATCCAGTTTTAATGAAATCAGCATCATTATACTGTACCTCTAAAAACATAACCAATGACGTTGATGTTGGAATGAAGTCGTCATTAATGCACCTAAACTACTGTATACCTACTCAGTGCAGAAGATAAAGTGCTGGAAGACTGATAACATTCACTTTTTTAAACTAGAGCTGGTGTTTATGGGGTGATTTGAATATATGGAAAAGGCTGCAGAGAGAGAGATCAGTTAGCCTGAAGAACTGAGGAGGCAGGAAGGGAAATGATGACAGAGAGACAGAGGATCTTTTAGACAGCGGTGTGAACGAGCAGGAGCAGAAAGGTCACCAAGAAGCCGAATTGAGTGAAAACAACCAGCAGCGATGACATCATCTGCAAACCGTGCTGTAACCCTAGCAGCTGTTGTCACGGTGCTAAACTGTGTGTTTCTCCAGGGGGTCCAGGCCGGAGTGGTGGGCGACTTCAACCACGCGGAGCGCTGCAAGGACTCTCTGTTTATGGGCACCCCGCCAAGAGGCTACCTGAGCAACTCCTTTAAGAAGATCTGCCAAAGGTACGAGGACAGACCCCGCTACGTCACGCTGTACGACCCCCACAAACACATCCCCATCTACTCTGCCTACAACTTCAAGAAGTCCGACGGCGACAAGCAGGTGGACTTCCCCTGGATGTTTGAACCTCAGGTGAATGAAATGAGGCTCGTCCATTGAAGTGGAGCCGGTTTTCGGGCTTAACGTCAAAGTAAATTCAACTGTTCGTTTTAATGCTACAATGTTAAAATATTCAGATAAAGTAGCTAAAATGTTTTTTTTATACAGGCAACTTTCAACAGTTGTTTCATATTTATGACCTACTATTGCAAAAAGCATCTTGAGGTTAGCTCTCTTCTAGATGTCACCTAGGTGAAATAGTCTGTCATCAGCATACATGCAAAGTTATCACTAGTACTGTGTATGTATGAGTATGACGGAGATAATTCAAGATAGCTGCTCAGGCTACATCTCCCAAAATTATATTACTGCTCAGAACATGCATTAAGGAAGACGCCAGACAAATTTATTCCATTTTTAGTAAAACTGAATAAGTTGTTGTAATTTTTATGTGGCGAAGGGTAAATTAGCTGTGGCAAAACTTGTAAAAATCAGATCTTGCACCATCACTTTGTCCAATCCTGCATGTCCAATCCCAGCTGATTCAAAAATTGAATTACCTCTAAGTTCTGCAGAGGTCTGTTGATCATGTATTTATTCAAATCAGGTATGTTGGATCAGAGAAACCTCTAAAATATCCAGGATAGGATACCGCGACTTGTTCTTTGAGCAGCTCAGTATCTTTAAAAACTGTTTTCTGTTTAAGTGCAATAAAAATGGTTTCAAGTTGAAAATGCGATCATACCACCCTGATCAAACCAGATCTCCAAAGCTAAGCATCTCAATGTAGGAGTTGTACCCACATTGGTCACTAGCATTAGAAAACCTTTGATTACAAAGGGTTGCCTTCAATGAAGGATGCCAAATCAAAGTAGTGACTGACCAATGTGGGTACAACTCCTACAGTGAGATGCTTAGCTTTGGAGATCTGGTTTGATCAGGGTGGTATGATCAAACCAGATTTCCAAAGCTAAGCATCTCAATGTAGGAGTTGTACCCACATTGGTCACTAGCATTAGAAAACCTTTGATTATAAAGGGTTGCCTTCAATGAAGGATGCCAAATCAAATCAATCATCAAAGATGAAAATACTGACTGTACTTTAAACTAATGTTTTTTTATGTCTCCCTCGATCTGTAGTTGGCCTCAGAGAAAAGCAGCAGCAACATGGAGCCCTTCCCTCAATCCACAAACATGCACATGAACTTCGAGGACTCCCAGGCTGTCCTGGAAGACTACGCCGATGTGGTTCAGTATGAACGAGGCCAGCTGAATCCCGACGAGCACCATGCGGACCCTCTAGACAAAGCCTCCACCTACAGCTTGACCAACGTAGTGCCTCAGATCAGAGAGTTCAACATAGGACCTTGGGCCGAACACCAGGACGTCATCCGCAAACGCCTCAACAACTACTGCCGAGGAAAGGCCTTCTTGGTCACCGGGGTCACCACCTCGGGACACACGATCCGTCGCAACAACATGGACCGTGTGGCCGTTCCAGAGTACATGTGGTCGGCCTACTGCTGCACGGAGTTCGACCAGAACGCGCCGTACTTTGTGCGCTACAAGTTCCCCGCCTTTGGAGCTTACGGGCTCAACGATCGAATCAACAACCAGATGGTGGAGGTCCCTCTGAAGAACCTGGAGAAATTCCTCAAAGGGAGGATGGACGTGGACAAAAACTTCCAGATTTTCTATAACGACTGCATCCCGGATAACTAAGGCAAAATGTGACTGATATTGAAAGTCAATATTAAGGTTTAAGGTTATAGCCAAAAATATACCTGAAAATAAATAGTCAAATCTCAAATTCTACCGAATACGGCAAGGCAAGAAATGAAGAACTGAATTTGAACCATGTCTCTTTCTCTAAATCTCCATGTATTTATTTGTTACATTTTTTGATCAGTCTTAAAGTGTATAAAATCTTAATTTGTTTCATCATAATTTCACAGAAGCTGAAGATGTTCATATAGCTTTTGTTAAACTAAACGTAAAACCCAAAAATAAAAAGCGAAAAGAAGCTTTTGCATATTCAAATTTAAAGGCAAAAAATGTTTGAATTGTTTATTGTAAAGCAATAAATGAATAAACAAACAAAAATGTTCACGTGTTGGAAATAGAAGTTGGCTCCACATCCTTACAAATACTCCACCCAACAGTATACTGTTTTATAAATAGAATTTTCACAATATTCACTGGATGACAAATAATGTTACAACTGTATTTCCTAAATTAGTTATGTTATGTTAAAATCCTAATCCAAACTTTTTTTTTATAAATTGTGACTTACAAATTTTAGAAGAATATAGTATAAGTAGGAAGTGCACATAAATGTTTCATCAAGAGATTTTTAATTTTATTCAAATTTAATGGCAATGAAAAACCAGATAATATTGAAACTCAACCACTAGATGGCACTACCACTATTTTAAATCAAACTACATGGTGATGAAATAAAGATTTATATTTCAGGTGCATAAAATACTTTTATTTTTTCAGGGTTTGGGTATTATTACTAATATTCTACAAACCATTACAAATTTGGCACAGAATGTATCTAAAATCAAGTGTTTATACTAATGACAAAATTATATTATTTTTCCCATTTCACAGGCTTCCACTTACAGTGAACACCAGCTGAATTTCACTTATTTTTGGATGAACCTTTACAATGATTGTAAAGTGTTGTAGGGGTCACCTCGAGTGAAATAATCAAGGAGACGGGCTTTGATCCCAGGCCTCTGATGAGCACTATAAAGAGACAGAACTCTGTTCCACTTAGAACTGAATGTAGGCTACCTCAAGTCGTCTTAACTTATAAGAGACATTCTCTTTTTCTTAATCAGATAATAACAGAATAACCTTCTTCTATTTGATTAATTTTTCTCTTAACAGAAAGGTATGACGCATTTTGATAATCAGAGAATGTTTATCAAGTTACAGGTGAAAAGAGGACAGATCTCTTCTCTCCCTCAGTATGATTTCAGCTATGTATGGATCTTTCTGTGGAAAGATTTTATTTAACTTAACTAATCACTATGGTTTAAGTTTGATGAGACAGCAATGTTTGTCTGAATCATATTGAAAATGTTTTGTTTGAAGTAATTCCTTCTTTCAGTTAAGTTTTTAAAGAGTTCTCATCAGTATGGAAGCCCATTTCCACCACCCTGATAAAAAAATAAAACTTGTATCTCATAATTATGACTTAGCTATCTCATAATTA